CCTCTTCAATACTAATGCTTCAATTGTTCGTGACCTTGCCCAAGCTTGTGCTGAGGTCTGCCCTAAAGCTCTTATTGGAATTATATCCAACCCAGTAAGTAAATCTTATGTCTGAATGCACAGAAATCATTCTATTATGTTTTGGGTTTGTAATTACTTCCATCAGCACCTTGGAATGGGGGTTTAAAATTGCTTGGTAGAGTGGAGAATGCAATTAACAAATACATGGTTCTTTTGTGAAAGTAACAGCAAAAATTCAGAGTAGGCAGCTGAAAGTACCTTCTGCTTCACACTTCCACACAGCAGTAATATGTCATCATAAACCAAAAGTAAAGGAGTCTCATAAATCAGGATAACAGAATAAAGTCCAGTCTTGCCAAATTTATTGTGTTGATTAGTAAATATAGAAATATTGTGTTAGACATTGTCCATTATTTGAGGTTTGTATGACCCCCATTAGGTGGCTTGATAGTGTAGAACAAGATCTTCAAGCTCTCGGAGTCCAGGGATGGAAAAGGAAAGCCGTAAATAGGGACCAATGGAAGCACATTGTTGGGGCTGTAATAGGCTGTAGAACTCGTGATGATGATGATGATGTCCAACATAGTATTTCTGTATTGAATTAATCATTATTATACACTTTTAGAGGATAAATAATCAGTAAACATGAGTGAATGTATTGTGTGGCAAAAAAGGGACTATGTATAATGTTGGTCAGGTATGTACATTCTTACTTGAATCTGTGTATGAGCTGGCATAGCTTAGTGTAGTGACTGGCTATGGACTGGATGACGGGTTTGATCCCCGATGGGGGCAGTGGATTTTTTCTCTAGCCTCTGCATCCAGTTCTGTGGCCCACCCAGTCTCCTATCCAGTGGGTACCAGGGTCGTTTCTCTAGAGTAAAGCGCTGTTGGGGCATGATGCTGGCCACTTACCCCATCTCGTGCCGAAGACAAGAAAGTAGGAGCTATACCTCGTCTCCTCCCAAGTGCCTACATGGCATGTAGTGGGACAGCTTTACTTTTACTTGAATCTCTGAAAACTAAATATACTTAATATCTGAACCTAATTGTATATTCTTAAGTTTTTTATGATCCATGCATTTGCAGTAATTCACATTGTGGTAAGAAATTCTGATGTTATAATAGGCCTGACAGTTAAATAACCCCAAAGTACTGGAATTGTAATTTCCTTTTCGATTTTTATTACCATCTTTGTGTACCATTAAGTATGAAAATTAAAGTAAATTGATAGGAAACTAGTGGCTAAAGGAACTGTTCCGATTGGAATGATGTGTAATTGATGAGCATTACATTCTTTTTAATTGTCATGACTGAAGTATCTTGTAATGCTGGAAATGAAGAGTGATTAATTTATCATCCATTAAAGAGATAAGTATATGCAGATACTCTGCATGTTTTCTTAGAAAAGGTGTTAGTTTAGAAATGTCTTTGTTTCAGGTGAACAGTACAGTGCCTATTGCATCTGAAGTTTTCCAGAAAGCTGGTGTTTATGATCCAAACAGGATCTTTGGAGTTTCCACCTTAGATGTGGTTCGAGCAAACACCTTTATAGCAGAAGCCAAGGTCAGACATATCTGTATCTTATTAACAGATTAATTATCTCATAATTCACTTCCGTTTGTTGTTACCTATAAGTTGTAAAAGAATCATTAAATAGCCTAAGAATCAATAAGTTAAATTCTTTAAAAATGTAACATTTCATCTTTCACTCTCCTTGCTTTGTTTTGTTCTAAAAAGAAACCCCTGCTTCATCTGGGCACTGTTATGCTGCAGTATGTGGTAACATCACATTTTCCTCCTCCTAGACTTTACCCAACATTGGTGTCAGATTGTCTTATTTGAAACTTAGCATCGATTGTAACTTGCTGTTTTGTTTACTGTGTTGTGTTCAATGTTATTCAATCCAAACAACACATCCAGACCCAACTGGAAATACTACCTATGCAACAAAGTAATTTTATCCAATAGGCAATTTTTGCAGACATGTTTTTACAATACCTTGATATATTGATATTCCTCTGACATTTGTGTGTGTTACCGTATCTTCTTTTTTATGCAGTATTGTGGCATAATATGAGATAATCTACAAGAACAAGTGCAAAACTCATGTTAGAATATTCAAATTACAAATATTTAGTAGGGGGAAAAAGTTTTCAACAGAAGGTCTGAATGTGTTAAAATTTATATGTTTGTGTGTAAAGAAATAGCTGAAAAAGGGAGAAGGTTGTGTTTGTATTTCTTTCCTTGCTGATAATTTTATTAAATAATATAAAGTGGGGTCCGCATTGGCCGCGCAGTCTGAGGCGTGAGTCTTGTGCCGCTTGGTCGTGGGGACCGTGGTTTCGAATCCCACTCAAGCCATGGATGTTTTTCTGTGTTGCGCTGTCCTGTAAATGGGTAGAGACCTTGCGATTGGCCGATCTCTCGTCCACGGAGTCCTACCGAATGTCCATAGATCAAGCCAACTAAAAGGTTGGGGACCCATAAAGGGTACCGGAAAATGTATAAACATTGTTAAACCGGAAAAAGAAGAAGATAATATAAAGCATATATGACCGTTAAGCAGGGTTTACTAAATTACATAACATCAGAATTAGTATATGAAGAGTGCTTAGAAATCTACAAATCATATTGTTGGTGCATTTTATTTTCTTTGAGTGTCTGTCAGTGAGATAGTGAAAAATGTTAATTTTTGTATTTGCTATTAATCTCTCTGTGTGTCTCTCTCTCTCTGCCCCCCCCCCACTGGTTTTGTCTGTCTTCATAAAAACAGAACTTGGATCCATCAAAGCTAAATGTTCCTGTGGTTGGTGGACACTCTGGAGTTACCATCATCCCACTCATTTCCCAGGCAAAGCCAGCTGTTGACTTTAACAAGGACAAGCTGAAAGCTCTTACAGAAAGGATACAGGTAATTATGTGTATGAAGTGGTTCTGGCTCAAAAGACAAATAATAAGGTAATAAAGTATAAAATTGTAGTAAATTTTAACATATTATCAAATTGGTTAGAGAAAGGAAAGACCATGTACCTGCTTGTAAGGACCCAGAATTATTATAATATTTTCACACAGATTGGAAAATGGAAAGGGTTAAGGGGAAAAAACAGTGAATATGTTTTCTTTCGCTTTTGTATGAATCCAAACCATTAATGTAGATATAATGAGGATCAGTTGTATTTTATTTATTATTCTATGGTACCAAACCTCTTATCCTGCATCTAGAAATCCAGATAGTTCTTAAACTGACAGGCTGATTGTAATGCCTAAGTAGTTTGCCTGCTGGTCACTTAGTTTGAATGATGCCATTATTATGGTAGGTATTTATGCCATTCTTTGGAAGCTAATAGTTACTCCCTGCCATATATAGACCCTAAGAGTTTGTTGCTGTGTTTGCAAGATTTAGGTAAAAGTTCATCTCATTTTATTTTAAGTTTAAAGTGACAGATTTGGTTGCATAATTCTATCATCCATTTTATGTGAGTCATTGGTAGTCAGATAATAAGGATGTAAATACTTTCTTGAAAGACAAGGCATAGCCAGGAGAACAGTATTAATCCATCTGTGTGGGTATCTGAGATTCTTGCCTACTTTGGGAGGAGTTTACACAAGTCAGCAGCTTAAAACTGACAGATATTTACTCTAAAAAATGCATATATCTGGTCAGCACATACACTAAACAACAGCCTGGTCTTTGATCTTGAAGGCTAGCAAAGTTCAATTCATGTAATTTAAAAAGTGTTTGTTAGAAGAGGGCACAGAACTTGTTCATTTGTTTACAGTACATTTAAAATCATCAAATTCCAAGATTTACTCAGTGAAAAACTGATAGATCTGGGCAATACATACACCAAATGAAACCTGGATTTTTATCTTGAAGGCTATGCAAGTAGAATTCATTTTAAAGACTATTTGTGGGATGGAAGCATAAAGCAGGAGTTCTCATCTGCGTACAGAAAGCATCACTTCACAAACATGAATGGCATGGGTGTGACATGCAGTGCATGGAATGCCACAACAGATTAAAATATACCTTGAGGGAAAACCATAATTTGCAGTTATGATTATTCAGATTGAGCCATTATACTGAATGAGTATTGTTACTTTGTACAGGAAGCGGGTACTGAGGTTGTGAAAGCTAAAGCAGGTGCAGGCTCAGCTACATTGTCCATGGCTTTTGCTGGTGCCCGTTTTGCATTTGCACTGTGCCGGGCTCTGAAGGGAGAACCTAACATTGTTGAGTGTTCATATGTCCGCTCTAACATCACAGAAGCTAAGTATTTCTCCACACCTCTACTGATAGGGGTAAGCACAGCTTGTGATTTTGTTAATTTTAGAGAAAATGCAGTCTTACCAACTACAGAAAAGAAACTCCCTCCTCCTCCTCCTCTCCTTTCTTGTTAAGAATAAGAAGTCTATTTTGTCATAGTTATAAGGAACTGGTCAAGGTAGTACAGCAGTTTAAACTGCATGCAGGAAGAACTAAGAGATCATACATTTCATATTTCCACAGCATACCAAACCAATGTGACTGACTCATCAAAGTGTTACCCTTGACAAGTGTTGAATTTGTTTATTACCTGAAATGAAATTGCTGTCTATCTGGTCTAAGTGGTAGTTGAGTGTTTTGCTGTCTTATTTACTCCTAAAAATGAAGTTACTGTTTGTTCATGGTTTGAGTGATTTTGGTTCCCATCATTTTATAAGCATGTCTTGATTTGTGAGATGTGACACTGTAAAGTCTAAGTATGAAATGATGGCATTTGAACACCCGCTCCACAGCACAGCCTTTCCTCTCTCTATCTTTTCCAGTGTGTGTGTGTGTGTGTGTGTCTTACCAAATGTTTATTTTGTATCCTGATATATGTGATTCAATGGTATACAGCCCAATGGAATCCAGAAGAATTTGGGTCTTGGAAAACTTTCTGATTTTGAGAACGAACTATTGGTAGCTGCTATCCCAGAACTGAAGAAAAATATTCAGAAGGGAGAGGATTTTATTAACAAGAAGTGAAAACGAGCTTCTGCTGTAGAAAGCACGGGATTACTGTTATCAAACAGACCT